GTGGGATTCAGCAGGTTCTGACCACTTCTGGAGAACCGGTAGTGGAAACTTTTGAGTAGTTCAGAGAACTGGTCAATGCCACCTCAGGCTGGCCCCGCCCCATCTATTCTCTGCCTCCCAAGTCCCAGCGGATCGGGAGGAAATGGGGATTTTGCAGTATCCTTCCCCTGGGTGGGAATTCCTCCCTCCCTCCCCTCCCCTGTTTTACTGTATCCTTCCCCTGCCACACCCACCAAGCCACACCCATGGAACTGATAGTAAAAAAAAATTTGAACCCCACCACTGCTCTGCTCCAACACATGGCTCAGGCCCCACACTGGCCCTGTTGGAGAAGCCAGGAGAGGTCTTCCCTCCCACTGTTTTCCCAAGCCAGATGTGGCTTCGATCACCACGGTCCCTTCGGAGGGCTTGTTTTTTTCCTGCACTGGCACCATTGCAGGATTTGCCTGGGAGTTCCGGCTTTCCCACCCGAGCCGTGTGCTGCTGCCCAGGGAACCAAACAGCTGAAGCCTCTTCAGAGTTTCACTCCCCTGTTTCATCTTTCAGGCAGAGATCAACCTAGAACGGAGGAGGAATTCCCTGACAGTGGGGACAATTAATCGGAGGAAGAACTTGCCTCCAGAAGTTAGCAATAGCAATAGCAGTTAGACTTATATACCGCTTCCTAGGGCTTCCAGCCCTCTCTAAGCGGTTTACAGAGTCAGCGTATCGCCCCCAACAACAATCCGGCTCCTCATTTGTGGGGCTCCATCACTGGAGGCTTTAAAGAAGAGACTGGACAGCCACTTGTCTGGGGCGTCCAACCTTCAGAACTTTCTGGGACCTCAACTCCCAGAATTGAGGTTCACAAGTCTTAAAGTTCCAAGGTTGGGCACACCTGGTGTGGTGTCTTCCACCTGAGCAGGAGGTTCGACTTCTAGAAGATCTCCAAGGTCCCTTCCAAGCCTGTTATTCTGTTGCCCCAAGGTCTGTCCATCTGGCCAAGTGATCTGGCCAGAAATGTGGCCCCAGAAGAGGAGGTCCCCTTCCTCTGCTGGTCTTTCCGGCCTCCTTGTTCCCTATCGCGGGTGGCACGGAGAAGGTCGGCACGACTGGCCAGGGCACTCTGCGCATGGCCACTCATCTCTCTCTTTGCAACTGTGTGGATTTTCCCCACTTGGGACCTGGCGATCATTCAAGGAGCTCATCTCGGGATCAGCTCAGCCTCCCGGATGATTGCTCGGCTTTGCAAAGGAGGCCTTTTATATGTTTAAGTGGCTGCAGTGCCCTGCCAGCCTCGTAAAAGGGGCAGGAGAACCATCTGGCCTCCGAAAGCAATCAGAGAACCCGGGTGGGGCCCGGCTGGTGTCTCACCGGATGGGATGCTTGACAGGACGAAAGAGGAGGCTGTTGCAGGGCCAGCCACTCTGCCAGCTTATGGCCTGCTGTTAATGCACTCAACAAACTTCCTGTATTTCAAATTCAGTTCAGGGCGATGATGGTTGGAGTGAGTTAATAATTTAAAAACATTTCCAGGATCTCACGACGCCACTTCTGCTAAAGAATGAATGTCCATCCCTCCCGAGGCTTCTTCATCTTCCTCAGTTTAACAGAAGAGCAGAGTTGGAAGGGAACTTGGAGGTCTTCTAGTCCAGTGTTTCTCAACCTTGGCAACTTGAAGATGTCCGGACTTCAACTCCCAGAATTCCCCAGCCAGCGAATGCTGGCT